CTTTACATCAAAACATGGCTAACAGAGCACTGGCTTGTGGTTGGAAAGCCTAGATTCTAATTTCATCTTCACATCTAAATTAGCCATGTGACCATTGGTAAATGTATGAATTTACCTCCAAGGTCTCTTCCAGTGAAAACACTGACTCCTCAGACACATGATTCATTCAAATTACCAGATCTGAACACTTAATACCTATTTACACTTTATTTTTCTGAACTTTTTAAAAGTGCTGTTGATCACAACCCATCCTGGAGAGAATCCTGACAGAATAATTTAAAGAATTACCATATCTTCACAGTGATAAGAATTTTTTCTCCCAGGGATCCTAGTTAATCAGGCAGCAGGGAACAAGCATCCTAAGATGACTCAAGGCATTGTTCTTGCCCAAGAACAAGTTGGGATAGTGTTTAGCTTACATATTCTAGCACACATACTGGTAGGGACAGCTCTACAAATAGACGGATTCACCTTCTTGATGGAGTGGTCAATCCCTTGAGCAAGCTGCCAGTCTCTTAAAACAGAAGGACCTGTGGAAGCTACAAAGCAATACTTTTCCAGTGAAACTGCTTGTGTAAACAAACCCTCAAAGCAAAATATTCATAGTCATCCTAAAATTTTGGTTCAAGTATCACTCACACAGGGAATTTGCATAATTTAAGGAAAAAAGCACTATATATGGAAGTGTACACAGTGAGTTTCTTAACCATTCACATCAATTTTCTATCTTTCAGATATAGTGAATAGTTACAAGGCAGTTAGAAGAAAATATTTCTGTGAATTAAGGGAATTTAAATCTAGATATTATATATTCACTTTAAAATCTTATATCATGTAAACAAAACACTAAGCAGTAAAATGAAATTAATTTTTCAATAAAAACAAAGATCTTTATATAGAAAATATTTTAACTTATATATGTACTAAGTTAAAAAATAAACCCATTGACCGCACTGATCATTGATTTTCCTTCTTTCACAGTTAATCACTTCTATTTGAACCAACTTGGGGTAAGTCCATATTAATTTTCAAGCTATTATAAACTACAAATCTAACGGACTGAAGATGATATCCTATTAATCTTTTTATTTTTAGGGCTTCTTTGGGGTAAGACTTTATCTCTTTGATTATATTGATAAAAGCAAGTGACGTTTAATCTCAGGAAAGGTAAGAATAATTCTTCTGATGCGGGCTGGCCCTGTTGCTTAGCGGTTAAGTGCTCGCCCTCTGCTGCTGGCAGCCCAGGTTCGGATCCCGGGCACGCACCAATGCACCACTTGTCTGGCCATGCTGAGGCGGCGTCCCATACAGCAACTAGAAGGATGTGCAACTATGACATACAACTATCTACTGGGGCTTTGGGGAGAAAAAGGGAAAAAAAGGAGGAAGATCGGCAATAGATGTTAGCTCAGAGCTGGTCTTCCTCAGCAAAAAGAGGAGGATTGGCATGGATGTTAGCTCAGGGCTGATCTTCCTCACAAAAAAAAAAAAAAAAGAATTCTTCTTCTGAACCATAAAAACATATAGCAGAATCGAACCCAACTGATCTACCCAGATCAGAGCTCATGAGTTATAAACTCAATTTCCTCCGAGATATTTAGATCAGAATTTCTGCAGGTCTAAAAAGGTATTCTTTTCATAACGCTCATGGTATTTGACAAAATTTCAGTTTACAGAAATATATGCAATATTAGGTGAAGAAATTTTAAATAGTAAATTTTACCTCAAGCTTATTTTTGTCTATGGACAATCCATAGTAAACACTGAGAAAAGCCTGCTGTGAAAACTACCACAGAAACGGCCTGATCTCAAGGCAAGGCAACACACCTCCTTAACAAACAAAAGCATCAGCTCCTTCATGGAAAAGCTGCAAACCTTGAGACTTCTACTTTGATTCTCACACAAGTTTGCTTTCATTTAAAATATATACAAAAAAGAGACACAGAGAGAGACCAAAAAGGTATATTCCTTTTTTAAATATCTGAATTAATGTCAATTAAAATTATATACAGTACATATTTATTTTAATCTACCTTGAGAGAAACTAATGAACCAAAATATTCTCAACGCCGATTTTGAGAAAGAAATTGGATTTCACCTGTTTGCCTCCTGACAAGTTTCATTGCCCTCAAGTGCTTATTTATTTTTTCTTACACTTCAAGTGCTCTCACCAGGCCATCAGGGGCCAAGTGGGAGAAATTAAGTTCTATGTTGCAGAAAAGACAGTGGAGCATTCAACTTACCAGAATTTAGGTATAACAGAACCACATTATTTTCTACCTCCCAACACACGCTTATACCAATACTAACCCATTAACAACAAAATAATCATAATTTGGGAGACACGGGTGGAGGCGAAGATGAAATTATGGCAAAGACACCTTCATATAGTAACTATAATCTGTATTGTTTATTTTGGCAGAAATAATTCTCACTACTATGTCAGAAGTTATATATGGTTAGTAAAATCTCCAACTATCTTTCAAACACTATTATACATTTTTAAATATTTTTATCTTAAGAGTTTAATAGCCTCAGGTTATGCCCATATTGGTAAATTAACAATATGATGAAAGTAGGTGTAAACAAGACCAAATTAATTACAAATGCTTTCTTCAAAGGATGTATTTTAAAATCATTTATTAGAACTTCACAAATATTTTAGAAAACCACCATAAAGTCCTTATACTGTAAGACAGAGCAGCATTTAGCCTCTAAAAGTGGTTAGAATTTTCAAGTGCCCTCTTTAGCTACCAAATACTTAGCTTTTTAGGTAGTCATGGTCTTATGTAAGTTTAATATGTGCTTCTATTTGAGTTTTAAATGCTTTCAAATCTCAAGAACACCTGCTGGTAAGACAAACACTGATTGTGGCCACTTATCCTTAGGTTAAGATATTATCAAATAAATTCTCTTTGGGCCAAAATTATGCAAACAATTTCAAAATGCTAGCCACATCACAAGTGGCCCTTAAATTTCAAGGCACAAACCATAACTGTAATTACTATGGATAACATGAGTACTACTTAAGTAATATATAATCCTCCAAATGCCTATGTACAGGAACAAATCATAAAAGCTTCATAACTTTAGTAGGGAGTACAACAGATAGAGAATAGGTTTTGGAACCAGGCAGACCAGGACTGACCCCAGCTCTGTGCCTTACTGAATAAACCTTGGTGCAGCCTTTCTAAATATCACTTTCATCTGTGAAATGGGAATAATACCACCTAACTTCACAGGATTGTTGTAAGAATTAAGTGATACAATGTAGATATTCAATAAATTGTATTTATTATTCCTATTTATTTTACTAAATGTCTCTAAAAAACCAAAAAATATTCCTTGTATCTAAAATATAAAAAGAGCAAATATGAAGTAATATCATATAGGATATAAGACCAGATGTTCCTCCAGAAATGTCTTAAAACTAAAATTTTAATCTGATTTTTCTCTATTTTAGATGGTACTGGATACCTACAGTAATCAGAAAATTATCTACTTCTATCTTATCTATAGTTTATAGTTTTATCATTCTGCTTACCTTGTAAATGTTCCAGTAAAAATTCCAAAATGCCACCAAGAATTTATTATCTATAGACCATGTGCTTCATTCTTTAAATAAAATTTTAATATAAGCTAAGATCTTTACTAATGTCAATTTAAATGTATCAAAACTATTACACATAAGGAAATGTCATTCTTCAGGGAGTTGTTCAAACTTTCTCAAGAGCCTTTGTAAGCAGTTTTGATTTTACAGAATTCTATCAGTGCCAGGAAGAAGCAATTTCCTCCTGCCAAAGAGTAAAAGTAGAATCAGACTCTCTCATGCTGAGAGGTCATCCTACCCCTCACCTAATGAGCAGGACATCCTTGTCAACCACAAGTCCCTTATTACATACCCAGGGACCAGGATTTTATGGATTTTACAAAATTAATACCATATATAAACCTTATAACTCTTCCAGAGGGGTTTGAGGCAGCATCCTGAAATCAAACATTCTAATGTTTCTCAGCAAAACTTAGTCACACTATGGGGGAAAAAGCCTCCTGTCAGTTCAACTGTTCAGGTTTACCACCAAAGGAGTTTTGACATTAAATTGGAAAAAAAAAAAGACCCTTTTGATTTACCTTAGCCCTACGTCTGTCCTCTAGCTACAGAGTAAGCCGAAGGCCTTTTTCAAATGTCTGAAGAAAAGAAAACAACCATGCCTCTGTCCCCTAAGCCTCCTTTTCTTCAGATGTCCTATGTGTAGTCCAGCTGAACGAAGATGGAATTAGGCCAGTCCCTACTTCAGGCTGACAGGAGTTAATATCATGGGACCTTGCCAACCAGCCAGATATCTCGGAGATCTCAACCAGAATGTGATACACACGTCCCTGAGACGAGGCAGTGTTACTTTCCTCCTTCTTCCCTGCTTCCAGCAACACCTAGAACACCAACTCTTTCCTTTCCTCTGGGAATTATGTTAACAGTGAGTCTCTCAAAAACCTATTTCAATCCTTAACATTCCCTTCCTAACAAAAAACACTTCAACTCCCAGACCTCCCTCTGTCTCCGTCTGATTTCAATTCCTCTCTGAACATCTATTTTTAGTTCACTTATGACAAATACAATTACAGTAGTGTGAAATAAATATTTAAATCAATTTAAATTACTAATTTACTGGACACATTTTTTAATTCAGACTTTTTGAAAATAAGACAATGAGCTCTTGTTCACTGATCTTGATCTTTATTGACTAAAAGAGTGACTAAAATTTCCTCATAAAACTGATGACTCTCAAGTTAAGAATACATAAGGTTCCCATTTTTGAAATCATCTTCAACAAGATGATATGAAGCAAAATGTGAAGCAAATAATTTAAAGATAAATCAGATTAGACAACGGTGTTGCTTCTCCTAAAGGAGCTTGACATGGAGGGAACATCCTTCGGAGCTCAGAAGATCAATGGGAAAAAAAAAGAACTGACAAACATGAACTAGACGGAAGGCAGAAGTTATGGTTGATCCGAAATTTCTCTTTATTCAGATTTAATTCTTCAAAAAACATCAGTTGTTTAAATTTGGTTTAAAGCCATGCTTATAGAGAATGCATACAAAATATGATTGTTTATATTCCTTTTGACTGGAAAGCAGAATATTCTGTGTTCCATTTCAGCATATTTACTAATTTTATTCGATGCAAATAAATGCAAATCATTTTGAAAGTGAACAAAATAATGTGAAAGTGACCTGCTCTGACCTTTTTATATTACTGCCTTCTTTTCAGCACCCGCTCCTCTCTTGGCCTTTGGCTTACGTGGAGATTTTGAGCTATGACCACCGCAGTCAGTTTCAGAGTTCTCACTCCAGTGTGCATCTCGTTTCTCTGCCACACGTTTGATGAATTGAGAGTGACTGGCATAAAGCTTGAGTTTATCACTGATGTCCACCCATTTCACTTTTCCAGCATCATCTCCAGCTTCTAGGGTAAGGTTATCCAGTATTTCACCTGGTTACCAAAGAAAAAACACTACCAAGTAATTCATTTATTAATTTCTTTTTCAGCACAACTCTATATCTTCAAGTATTCCTGCTAAAAATAATCTTAAATCATCATTGTATTAGGTGGCCAAGTGAATTAAAAGAATGTCTCAAATTTTCCAAATATTTTAACCAAGTTTCTAAATTTTTAGTAGTGGCACCAGCAGGAAAGCTTTTCTCTTTATAAGAAAGAATATTATCCAAAAAAAAGAAGAGTTCCTATTAAATAAGCATGAAACCTCACATCAAAATAAATTCCAGAGGGATTAGAGATTTAAATGTAAAAAAATGAAACAAACAATTACTGCTGGACTCATTTTAAAGTCTTAAGGTAAGTGGACTTTTCTAAGCATGACACCAAACCAGAAACCATAAAATATTTATAATTATATTTATAAATACATATAAATATATTTACTAAAATATTTGTAATTATAATTATCAAAAAATAAGTGCTCTCAATCACTGTTGGTAATGTAAAAGGCATACTTCTGTAGGACAATTTGGCAATGTTTATCAAGAGCTTTTAAAAATCAAATGCTCTTTATGAGCATTCATTCAACAAACACCAGAGTGCCTCTTATACACCAGACTCGGTACTAGGCATTGAGAATACAATAAACAATCAAGTGGGCCAGCCCCATGGCCTAGCAGTTAAGTGCACACGCTCCCCCGCTGGCGGCCCGGGTTCGGATCCCGGGCAGCCACCAATGCACCACTTGTCAGGCCACACTGTGGTGGCATCCCATATAAAGCGGAGGAAGATAGGCACAGATGTTAGCCCAGGGCCAGTCTTCCTCAGCAAAAAGAGGAGGATTGGCATGGACGTTAGCTCAGGGCTGATCTTCCTCACAAAAAAAAAAAAAAAAAAACCACATTTGAGTAATTCCACTTCAAAGAATTTATCCTAAAGAAATAAAAAGGCAAGCTTGTTAAAATATTCAAGGTCACATTATTTATAACCAAAAAGAAAAAAATGGACATAACCAGGGGCCAGCCCTGTGGTTTGGCAGTTAAGTGCATGCGCTCAGCTACTGGCGGCCCGGGTTCGGATCCCGGGTGCACACCGACGCACCACGTGTCCGGCCATGCTGAGGCAGCATCCCACAAACAGCAACTAGAAGGATGTGCAACTATGACATACAACTATCTACTGGGGCTTTGGGAGTGGGGAGGAAAGGAGGAGGATTGGCAACAGATGTTAGCTCAGAGCTGGTCGTCCTCGGCAAAAAAAAGAGGAGGACTGGCATGGATGTTAGCTCAGGGCTGATCTTCCTCACAAAAGAAAAAAAATAGACATAACCAAACTTTCCATCTATAGGGCACAGATTAAATAAGTGATGGGACAGCTACACAAGGGACTCCCATATAGTCATTAAACATGAAGCACGTCTGTATATACTGACATGGAAAGATGTCCATAATATATTTTTAAGTGAAAGCATCAAGTAACAAAACAGAATGTACAGTATGAGCTCATTTTTATTTTTATTTATTTTTTTGTGTGTGAGGAAGATTGGCCCTGAGCTAACATCTGCCAATCCTCCTCTTTTTTTTTTGCTGATTAAGACTGGCCCTGGGCTAACATCCATGCCCGTCTTCCTCCACTTTACATGGGATGCCGCCACAGCATGGCTTGACAAGCGGTGTGTCGGTGCGCGCCCAGGATCCGAACCGGCGGACCCTGGGCCACCGCAGCAGAGCGCTCACACTTAACCGCTTGCGCCACCGGGCCGGCCCTCATTTTTATTTTAAAAACAGCTATACGAAGTCTGAAAGAAGATAAACCAAAATGTTAACAATGATTATCCTTAGGAAATGAAATAATTGGTGCTTTTTAAATTTTCCCCTTTATATCATCTATTTTCTAAATAAATTATTATTAACAAGTATTAGCTTTATCTTTATAATAAAATAATAAAGCTACTTCTTAAAAGAAAAGAACCAATCAAATGTTTTAGCACACAGGTTTCTAAATTTCAATACTAAAATGACATACTAGATGAAATACTAAAGTGTGTATCCTCATTGCAGCTACAACATCCAACCATCAATGAGTACCAGAATCAAAGAAATCCTGAATCCAAAAGTTACGTGGAAATATCTGATTATCTAAACAACAGGGTCCTCTAACATGCTCTGTATCAGAACTAACAATGTATAAAAAGTTCTTTTACTCCTCTCCCCTTCTGGTCACCTAATAAATTACACAAAACAAAATTCTAAAAGGTTTAAAGAGTTCCAACCTGACATGTAAAGAGCTTAGAAGTCATCACTCCCACGCTCACAACAAGGAAAAAGCTGAACAAACTGAAAATCAACAACTCTTCTGAGATCCATCAGAGAACTGAGGTCACAGCGCACTGCCACCCCAAAAACCAGAGAGACAGGCAAATACAGAGAATCACAACTTACCAGGAAGAGAAGCCCACCACTGGAGCCAGCAACTGGTAGGAACATCTAAAAGGTAATTGACTAATTTCTGGAAACTGATCTGTGGACCAGCTTGAGTGATAAAATCTCCTGAAGGCTCCATCTTGGGATGCACGGGAGGGCCCATTTTCATGAGTTTTACCTCCAGAAATGCCAGCAGGTTCTCAGGGTGAAGACTGGAGAAAAAAAATCTCCACTTGCTTCCAGCAGGGAAAGGGGGAAAGTAACCATTTTGAAATATACCCAGAGCATTCTGCCCTAAAGGAAAACTATTTTACCAAGGCCTAACCTACCTAGGGGAAGGGAAATACCAAACTCTAGTTCCCTCTAGCCCTCCTGCCTCACTTCAGAAGAGTGAGGGTGGAGGGGAAAGCTGAGAAGCAGTTGTGAAGATCACAGCCCAGAGGCACAGACTCACTAACAGACTAAGACCTAATCATAGGTGCTCCTATGATTTCCCTCCCCCCACACCTGACCACCACATCAGCAGGGCTCCTGTCTAATAACAGGGGAACACACCTGAGAGAACTGCACAGCTCAGACCTTATGTAAGAAGAAGTCTCTAGACTAGAAGTCTCTAGAAGTCTCAAAGACAATAGAGAAGACGAAAACAGGGACACGAGAGGAAATTTTAGCCTCTGACACCTATACCTACAGCTACAGCAAACAGTGAGCACAGTCCAACTCCTAGTGATAAACACGAAACCTCACACCAAAGGCCTATTCGCCTCTGTCCCTTTTACCAGATACATCACAACCACTTTTCAAGAAAAACTACAAGGCATGCTAAAAGGCAAAAAGCATGGTCTGAGGAGACAAAGCAAGCATCACAATCAGACTCAGATATGGCAGAGATTTTGAATTATCATGAGAAATTTTTTTTAATTTAAAGAGAAAGGAAGGGTGAAAACAGTGATTTGAACAACTCATAAACTATATAATCAACCGCTAGAGAATCAGTTATTGTTTTTAAGTCCAAAAATAATTAGCTAACAAATTTATCAGTACTTAAGTCATACAGACCTGCTTCTACATTACATTTGAATATTTCTCCCTCTGAAATATTTCCTCTAAGTTCTCAATACCACAAAGATGAACTCTTCTAATATCTTGCTTAGAGTAGTTGGATAGAAGTAACGGAAAAGGTGCTGGGAGTTTCTCCCAAGTTCAACGAGCAAAAGCACAGAATGTAAAAGTGACAGATCTAGTTCCAGCTCATTTCATAAGTGAAAACACTGAGTCCAAGAGAACAAGTGATGTATACAAGGTTACGCATCTCAGCAAAGAGCCAAGAGTAGAATATTCAGTGGTACCTGATATGGTACTCTCATTTCATTATGCTACAGATGAAAACAAAATATTTAAAAGTCATCCAATTTAGCAATGTAATGCAAGAGAAGTGATCAATGTTATAAATTAAAGATCATAATCAATTTTTGTGTGTGTGTGTGTGTGAGGAGGACCAGCCCTGAGATAACATCTGTTGCCAATCCTCCTCTTTTTGCTGAGGAAGACTGGCCCTGGGCTAACATCCGTGCCCATCTTCCTCTACTTTATATGGGACACCACCACAGCATGGCTTAACAAGCGGTGCGTCGGTGCGTGCCTGGGATCCAAACCAGTGAACCCCGGGCCGCTGCAGCAGAGCGCATGCACTTAACCGCTTGTGCCACTGGGCTGGCCCCCATAATTAGTTTTTAAGACAGCAAATTTCCCCTCTCTTCTGGTAATAACAGATTTGATCCCCACCCCCCCGCCCCCAGTTTTTAAATTCACCAACCAGAAAAAGCATTCATTTTAAATTTTTTCAATACTTGGAAATTTTCTTGATATTGTTTTGTGTTTTAATAACACATACTTATTATAAAAATACTTCAAACAGCAAAACAGATATAAATTCCATTTCCTTAATCAGGGCCATATTTCCTACTTTCTAACCAAATCTCCAGTTGCTTTGGTTTTGTTTTACACAAATGGACTTATACTATAAAAACAATTTGACAACTTTAAGGCACATAATTTTAGTCCACAAATTCAACCTTAATTTAAAGGAAATTAGTTACTCGCAGCACTTTTAAGGCTTTCTTCCATGTATTCTTTTAATATCAACAATTTTGGTTTCATATAATCCTATAATCAACAGTTGATTGGCTTAAGACACTAAAATAGTCCAGAATTAATTGTGCCCTACTAGGCTGCTTGATTTAAACTTCTAATCTAGTCAGTTTACTAAACATAAGTAAAATTACCTGTTTCGTCATGGTAGTTCACAGCTTCTGTCTCCATCCATGCATTATCAGTGTTTCGAGGATCATCAACATATCCCTTATATATCTATTTTTAAAAGGAGGCAGACAAAAAAAAAGTCTAGAGTGAAACAGGAATGAGTAGAGCAGACACGTTACCTTCATTAGAATCATAAATGTAGGAGGCCGGCCCGGTGGTGCAAGTGGTTAAGCATGCACGCTCCGCTGTGGCGGCCTAGGGTTTGCTGGTTCGGATCCCAGGTGCGCACCAATGCACCGCTTGTCAGGCCGTGCTGTGGCAGGCATCCCATATAAAATGGAGGAACATGGGCATGGATGTTAGCCCAGGGCCAGTCTTCCTCAGCAAAAAAAGAGGAAGACTGGCAGATGTTAGCTCAGGGCCAATCTTCCTCACCAAAAAAAAAAAAGAATCATAAATGTAGATATCTTGTTACAAAACAATGTGCCTATAGTTAACACTACTTAATTGTGCACTTAAAAATGGTAAGGATGGTAAATTATATGTTATGTGTTTTTTACCACAATAAAAAAAAAGAAATGTAAATATCATAGAACCTTTAATGTAGCATTCCATATGCTTGTTTTAAATTTCCCAGGGAACAACATTCTCAAGAACTTTTTGAGGCAGCATTAAAATTCACAAAACCCTCAACACCTCAGACTCTAATTTAAGAATCTGAGAATAGTCATATTTGGGCCATATGATTTTTTTTAACGTCTCTATAATTTAAGTACTTTTCTATTTTAACAATTTCTGTGACTATAGTTTCAGAAATACAAAGGCAGATTCTCCTAGTTAAACAAAGGAGATCTATAAATAAAGTTAGTAAAGATTAATACTTAAGTTATTAATACATGAAAAGATTTGGATCTAACACAAATGTGACCCAAAACTGTACAGCGTTGATAAATAATTAAGAAATCTCAATTCTAAAAAGAAAACAAAGCAATCCAAGCAAAAGCCAACAAAAAAGAAAAGAAAATCTGTACTTTTCCTTATTATTAGTACACATATATCTTATAAGGTATTTTTTTTTAATCACAAAGGATATGCAGACAAAACAGACATGAGACTTAAATGGTTATCAACCAGAAAAACTCTGAATAACACAATTTAAAATGTAAATGTCCTTTCAAAAGAGCTGAATTCATGCAAATAAAAAATATTTTCCATTGGATGGGTACTCAACGTATAAGAAAACAGCTTCTTCACTGTCACATTAGCTCACAACTAATCTAAAGAAAAACTAAGAGGAAAAGTGTTATAATAAATGATGTAATTGACCTAAAGTGGGGCTATAAAACTTTAAGTAGAAATTTATTTACAGTGAAAATCTACTATGATTTAAGTTGTTCTTATGAATACGTATTTCAAATATACAAGTATTTCACTCTATTCAAAGAAGGATCTACCAGATTTCCAGGTGAACTTCAGGTCATTTTCATTAATCCACAGGACTAAATCCTTCCTAGGAACCACCATTTCTTACCACTAGATGTTCCTGGCTGAAGAGTTTGTGCAACTGTTCCTCTAATTCTCTCTTTTCAGCACTGGATTTCTGTAAGGAGTTGAGAGCTTCCTCACCAAATTCTCTTTTCAGTGCAGCACTAATCTTCTCTCCTGGATCCACCATCCCCTAAGAGTCACAATTTTGTTAAAAAAATTAAAAAAATAACCTTTAATTCATTCAACAAATTTTTACTGAGTGATGCAATGGACATTTACTGCTCTATCTGCCCATAATCACGACCCCCAATCTTCTGTGATATGCTCTGCTCTAAACCATTTGTTTCAAGCAGAAGCAGCCTATCAGGGTACCTCATATATTTGACCACAATAATTGGTCCAAGGTTTGCCTATGGCAAACTGAGCCAATCACATGCATTTCCTGGTATTTTCCAAACCCGAGCTAAGGAAAGAAAGCCTGGAGGCAAGAAAGAATACAACAAGTTGATAGTTTCCCCATTGGTCATTCCATTCCAGCCACACTGACCTCCTCAATGGTCCTAGAATATGCTAGACATACTCCCACTTTAGGGCCTTTGCATCTGCTATTACTTCTGTCCAAGATGCTTTTCTCCAGAATATCCACATACTTGACTCATTCACCTCCTTCACATCTTCATTCAAATCTCACCTTCTCAGAGAGACCTTCTCTAACTACCCTATCTAAAATTGCAAAACTAAAGCAAGTCCCCTTCCTTGCTTTAGTTTTTTTCTTAGTACTATCACCTTTTAACATACAATAACTTACTTATCTTATATGTCTCCCCCACTGGAGGGGCTGGCCCAGTGGCTCAAGCAGTTAAGTGCACACGTTCTACTTTGGTGGCCCAGGGTTCACAGGTTCAGATCCTGGGTGCACACCGATACACTGCTTATCAAGCCATGCTGTGGCGGCATTCCATACGAAGTAGAGGAAGATGGACACGGATGTTAGCTCAGGGCCAATCTTTCCCAGCCAAAAAAAAAAAAAAAAAAAGAGGAGGACCGGCA